TTTTAATAGGCATTGACAAAGATTAAAACAGGAACGAGTTCATTTACGATAAACTCAAAAAACAACCGTGTGGAACAGCGACATCTTCTTTTTGACCTCTGGAGCAGCGTTGTCAAAGAGTGGAATGGTAGATGGAGAAAGCCCTTAAAGTATTAAAAAACAAGTTCTGGAGAAAGATTAAGTGTAAATTCAGGTTTTTTTAAACCGGCAAGAAATTCGACACTCAACTTTATAACCGACAAATAGTTTTAAATAAAAAAGATTCATTTATAAGTATTTTAAAATGTTTTTGTTCTTTAAGTTAAATTAAATACGCAACTACTAAAATTTTTAGGGACGAATACAGACAAAGAATGAGAAGCTGAAGATAAAGTGAAACTGGAATTAGATTTACCTGTAGCTATCAAACACTTTTCATATTTGATTTTACGGCCATCTTCCAAGTAAGCGGTGTGAGCCGGTATATCTAACTTGACAATACGATGACCGGTAAGTAGAGAAACTCCTCCATGCTCTGCTGAAGAAATTTGTGCAGGAGAAACATAAAATCCTTTCGTTTCATAATAAACTTCTTTTGTCCTACCAGTCAGGCTTTTATATTCAAGATTACTACTTACCTAAAAATAACTTATACTAACCTCTGCCAAGGAACTGCAAAATACTAAAAATTGCCCAAACATACCTGCACTTATGATAGCTGCTACTAAAGAAACTACCAGTATAATTTAAATATAACTATATCAAAATATATTACGTTTTCATCTCCGTACCACCACAGCTCCTTCGTAAGGTTAGGCCTGTTGTACGGGAGATGTCTTTCATCACCTACGATCAACACTTTTGCATCTGCGTCTCTAGCTCTAATTGTAAGCGCAGCATGATAGGATGCGGTGCCTGCACCAATTAATAAGTAGGGTATCTCTTCTGGGATTTTATCATTTTCAAACGGACCCTGCAAAAAATCTGTTAGGTAACATGAAAAATTGTCAGTAGACAGCTTCGGATGCCTCGTTTTCTAATAAAAACGTTAGAATCGAAGAAGGCAGTGGCTAGAAGAAATGGTAAAATTGTGTGATATTGTAGAGTAAACAAACATTAGTAAAACAATCGAATCAAATAATTTTTACCAAAAAATCTAGCGAACTAAAATTCAAAGGAAACACAAGTGCATCCTACTCCACGGAAGGAAGCTTGCTGCATTCTTATTCAAAGAACTGCCTTTCAAATAAATAAAACTGAGAAAAAAATAATAAAAAAAGCGAAATCATCGTCTTTACCGGTTCTACACAAGCCTTAGAAGGACTTTTTGAAAAAATTTTGGAGGAGGCACCTTCCTCATCTTTCCTTTTCCATCTTTTCTAAACAGATATCATTTAGATAAAGATGTAAAAAATTGTTAAAGGAAACAAAGTATTAGAAATAGCAACAAATTAACATTAGTTTAACAATTTAACACAATCCGACGTTAAAAAACAAATCTAAAGTAAAAGAAACAATCAAAAACTAACCAGAACTATTCCAGAAGCAATTAATAAAGCCGCTGCACTGGCATAATATTTAAAATTACTCCTAATATGACCACATGCACCACCGCATTTACAATTTCCACCACAAATAAAACAAGTTTGCTAAAAGAAAAATGAAAAATTTAGTCCAGTAATTGTAATAACATTTAAAGGCTGATTGAACAAAATAAATCAAGGTATAAAAAACCCACAGATAAATAAATATAAATATAAGTCTAAAAAAATGAATACATTCATTAATAAACCTTTTTCTGCTGTTGTGATGACTGTTGATCAGTTGATACAGGGCGTCTCTGTTCCCTTAAGTTGTAAGTATCCGACGATAACAGTCGGGCTGTCGCTACCCGTGATGTTAACGGCGAATGCCTCAACAAAAACAGTAATCGACCCCTTAACAAGGGGAATAGCTCTAACACCATCTGGCGTTAAAAAACTAACCTAAACTAGATATTCTGATGAAGAATTAACTAAGAAAAGAAAAAAAAAAAAAA